TTCTCCATTTCCTCCTGTAGGTTACATAGGAGGCATGTGGGTTGAGTGTATAATCCCAATCTGTGGAGGTATTTTGCCAAGCAATCGTGTCCGGTACGTAGTCTAAACTCAGCTACGGCTTCGATTCTTGGCCAGTCGGCTATGTCGGAGAGTACCACTGTCCACTGTTTCTCCTTTGTTCGGGCTTTAAGTTCGTTGCACCTTGAGGTCTTGAATTCTCCCCTGACTAAGGCCTTCATTGTGTGGAAAGACATCGGCCGGTCCATGCATTGCAAAATCGTTGTCCCCTTCTTAGCAAGTGCGTCAGCAAGCTCACTGCCTTTAAAAGGAAAAGTTGCTTCTACCGCTCCCTCTGCCTTAATAATTAACACGAAACAATTTTTATTGGGTGTATTCTTGGTTGCACCAAGTACTTTCCTGTTAACATGCATAGAAAATTTAAAATTTGCACACAATTGTGTTCGACTAAAATAGCATTTACTGCTGTTTGTAGCAAGGAGTAGACAAAGAGCTATGCAAAAGCTGAAAAGAACTTATTTCTTGTTTTATCTTAATTTTCAAATTTATGATTTCAGAAACTCATAGCTTCTAGCTAAATATCAGGCTAACATTTATCAAAGTACCTCATTTTTATAAACTTCCAATCTCTTGAACTCACTAACAAGATTTCGCTGCTTATCACTTGATTTTTTTGGTTTCCGCTCTTGTAAGTTCTACCTGTATCTATCTTGTCATTATATCACTATCAAATTCGAGATATTTAAAATTGCAATCGAAAGAGCGGGAGACGCGAAAACTTTTACATCGTCTTTAAAATTACTCTATTTTATGCCTGGCATCACATTTCAGGAGAAGTTATTTGGTATTGCATTAATAGCTAGTGGGAAAGCGAACAGTTGTTAATTTTCGAACAACTTACTTTATTGCATTAGGTGTTATTGGTGCAGAGAGAGAGAGAGAGAGGGAGCAGTGTTCGACCCCAATAGACACATACCTGAAAAATCGATAATAGAGAAAGTCGCAAAATTTGAGTTGCCCACCAGGGATACCCTCCAGTGATGCCCATTTGCCCAAAATGTGTGCCGAAAAATAGTAAAAAATGACTTAGCACGAATGTTTCTGGCTCGCAGTCCGTTCATTTGAATGGCATCACCACACATCCCAGGTTGCCCAAATAGGTCTAAAATGATATCAAAAAATCATATGTATACCGTCTGGCAAGTACATAAACCTATTTTGGAAATTTCACAATAGAAATAGGCAGAGTTATTGTGTGTGTGTGTGTGCCTTTGGGCTTAAGACCTGTGATCTTCAAAAGCATTTAATGCTAGGTTGTCCATGACTCCAACAAAGACGCCACTTGAGTATTTCTTGGTATCCACGAAATTATTGCCTTAAACTACACCTCTCGAGAAGCAGTGAATTACTAGAGATACAAGCTACAGTTTACACTAGAAATTCGTGTTCCCATTTTAGCCAATAATATAAAACTGAGGAGACTTCTTGTTTAGGCCAATAATCGATACATCCTAGGCACATGAGACGAAGCTTTTAGATATCACTCTACTCTGATTGACAGCCGAGAAAAGAAATCTCTCTTGGATTTATGCGAATCTTAATTAATCAAACCTCTTGAACTTCGTTTTCATTATTTTGTAGATCGATTTTATTGAGTCCAATGTAGTAAAAATTTAGGAATTATCGATTTTAATGTTTTTTGTGTTATCTTAGGTTGGAGAGGTAAGTCGCTTTAAGCAATATATGTCTTTTGTTTTGCGTTTATTCACTTCTCCATCCTTGCAATGATTACTTACTTTAGGTTTGTATATGCCTTAATTTCACTTTACATATTCATGTGCATTTGTTTAAATCTTTGATCAATTTTTTTTAAATTTCATTTTCATTACCATTGAACTAATCACCGTTTAGTGACTGCGACATAAATTAGCAAACACTTTAAAGAACTTTAAAAATTTGTAAAAACATAATAGAAACTATCATTTAATTTTTCAATGTTTTGTAATATTATTCAAGGTCAACAAAATTGGTTTGAAGGTCACACGGGATACAGAAAAGGTAATGATCGAGAAGCAGGATGCCCTTTTCTTAATTTGCTTTTGATTAAAATGCACAGTTTTCTGTTTTAAATTCGGCTTAAAATTTTTTTAAGAGGTTATAAAATTTCGTCGCAAATTAATAATAAGAATTATTATTAGACGGTTATTAAACTTTAAGCACTCCCACAAGCATTGCATTTTCTTTTCACATATAAATCATTTTATCTGGAATTTCGGAATTATGATTTGATTATCTTCCTATTAGGTAGCTATAGTTACAATACCTTACCTCAGTGTCATTTTGAACATAGTATATTAGACCACAAGTCACATTCAGCAATTTATTTGACTTCTATGCCTTCTTGAATGGTCATTAATCTAATATACTAAATAGCAATTTATACTGATCTCATAACGAGGCCTGCCATATATCACTCTGTTCGAACAAGCGAATAAATTGTCGAGGAAAACGGGGTCCGTCAATCCGGTTCAAGATAATTACTCATTCCCATGACCTTTAAAGACGTTATATTTTTAATTCTGCTAGCTTCACAGATTTGTCAAAAGGAAAAAATAATACCTAACTATACACATTATTAATGGATTATGTTCGTCACACCAATAAGGCGGAAAATGAACCACTTTCCTTCTTAATTTTCCAACCCAATAAGACTAACAATGGCTTTAATTAAATGATTCGTCATTTCATTTATTTCTCAAGACAATGCCTTCAAATGCGCTTACTAATTTGCAATTAATTTTACTCAGTAGCACCAAATTCAGTTTTTTTTAATCCTGTGATTTATGATCCACATGTTAATTTCGTGTTTTCCGAACAATTTCTTGAAAACTTATTTCCTGTCAACACATCTTTGAGATGTGAATGATGAGGAGACGTAATAACAAGCAGAATTCCCATTAAAATAATGATATAAATACTTGTCTGGGGTATAGGAAAGCAATACACTTTATTAGATTTTACATCTGGTTAGAAATGCCAGTTTTGTTCACAGTATTTTATCACAGTAGCAAATAATACCACTTAAGATGCAAAAGCGCTTGGTCGAAAGAATGAATGTAATCAAACGGTCAGGATAACTTTAGAAACGTATTTTTATATTTTTACATTCCGAATTTCATTATTCTTTAACTGTTAGCCCTTTTGCTACATTTCTTCAATAATAAGTAAACTGCAAATTTAAAAATTGCCCAAAATTTCTTTGATTTACACTCCTCGCACTGGGTGTTCTATTAATTGTCATTAAATGTCACTCGGAGTCATAGATTCTTACGTCCTTTAAGCGTGATATTTTCCCTCGAAATAAAACAATTTCGCTACTTATTTACAGGAATCCGTCGAGCCAAATCGATGCATCTAGTGCTACGTAATTATAAACGGAGAAATAGTCCAAATCAATCATTACAAGGTGATTCACACTACCACGAAACATTCCAAATTCTATGACTTATCGTTCTTTATTGATTTCATAATCCCTAAATTACTTGTGTACGCATTGATTCGCACAATTAGCTAACAGGGAGTTGCCTGGTGTGCTTCACTTATCGATTTAACTGGTTTATTGACTACTTACAAGGTCGACACTCGGAATCAGAATCTGAAGGTGAGGGAGATGGTGGACCAGGTGGAAATACCACCGTACTCTCATCTCTCGTTCAATTTGGATCCAATCTTTTCCGACCAGATCTCAAGAAACCCATTACAAAGGGTGGCAAAGCAACCCGAGGTGGATCCACTGGAAACGCAACAGGAGCAGGAGGTTCTCAAACCGAAATGGATCCTGCTAGTTTGGCGGCCCTCGAAGCTGCTACCGAGGCTGAACTTGATCGTGCTTGCTTCGTTCTGATTCAATGCATTAATGGAATCGAAACACAAAAAGATGGTCTGCAGACACATGTAAGTCTTACTTAATGCTATTAGAACACATTAAAATTTAGTGCATTTTATCATCGCACGAGACACATAACACCATGGAGTTAGTATATTTGTTAGATTTAAAAGTAGGATATGTGGTTAATTCAAATGAATATCTGGATTATCTATTAGGAAATTAGCTAACTGTGCACTTCTGATATCTTTCATATGACCTTCGCTGCATAAAGGACATAATATATCGTATTTCTTTGGAATTATGCATCCCGCAGATCGTCAGGTAAGTGTAATAGAAGAAAGCATATAACAAAAGTGACAAGGTTTAAATCATTAAATGATTTTTGATTCGCTATCACATCTCATCAATGCTTAGTTGACATTTTTCGATTTTGGTCGGAATGGTTTCATTGTCTCTCTCCGTTAAAAACCTTCAAGCATGTTCAATTTTTCAATATGATAACCGCTGTTGTCATCTCGTTATCAGATCTCCAATTTCCCAAATTTTGCGTTTCAACGCGTTGTGATATTTGAGAATCTCAAGAAACAATTCTTTCGAGCATTTTTCCGTGCTTGGCTATTAACTTCAAATTGTTCTCAACCTTCCTCTCTTCTTGATCGGATTTCTGTGCCCTTATATTGGGATAAGAATTTTCAAAACATCAACTCTCAGACATGCCTATACTCTGTTTGAAGTCTAGTCTCTTCCTATGATTAAGAACCACATAATGTAAGAATGACAACAACTAAAATAATAAAAGAAGGTCCACAAGGTGATGGGGCTCTAGTATTAGGAAAAATCGTCTTAGAAAATTCAAGATGTTCTGAATAACGTTGGTAGTCAGCCGATTTTTCAAGGTTTCCAGATCCCAGGAGCTCAATGAGAGTCAGTCGATACAATGGCAGTAAGAGAGGAGAGCAGATTTCATTAGACTTAATTCATGTCAAATGGGAGGCTTTATGATAGTTATTATTAGCCCTTTGGCTTACTTCGGGCTCTAGAGAGGGGAAGAACATCAAGGTCACAAAAGGTCAGGGAGGGGGAAGAGAGGGAAACGGAAGAGTGATACAGAGATGTAAAAGAGACAGACAGACGGACACAAAGGCTCAGAAATGGTAAGGTGAGTACTGTGAAAGTGGTCGAATATGACATAAAGTCGGTTCATGGTAGTTTGAAATCAGAAGTCAATTGCCGGTTTATGGGCATTTTTGCTCACATGGATGTAAGTCTATTGCACACCCCAGATTTCGTTAATATAATGATAAGGAAATTCAGACTACTTTAAAGTCAGTGTTATTTTCATTCGTTTTACCCATGTTGATAAGGTAAAACGTATTTTTACACTTGAATTTGTTTGCTTGTGAAATAATCAAAAGTGGAAAGTTTATGATCCAAGTTACTGTCTTTTATTAACAGAACAGCCTATATACAATGGGTGTACTATACTGATCTGACAAGCAAACAAAACAGGTTCGCGGTTTACCCTTAAAGTTTGCCTACTAACTGAACTTCAAAGTACAATTAATATCACTTTGAAGGTCAATCTTAAAACCGATGGAAATCTTCCTTCTCAAAGTAGTTCAGTGGACAGCTTTTTAATTGCCCATAATTTCAACAACTTTCACGAAGCATCTACGTTCGTTGAGTCCATTTGGCGTCCGTTAGGTTCAATTTTGTTTTCGATTGGCATTTTTTGATCCCGTTCAAAGTTATTCCCCCTCCCTCCCTGCCTTCTTGCTTTTTATCGACTTTATATTATTTATCTTGCACATTCTAGTTCTAGATTGCCCCTAATTTGGACGATAGTTTTGGTTTACTGGTTACGCATTCACTTTAACTATTTTATCCTCTCAATTGACCTTGCATCAGTATCTTTTGAGAAATTTTCAGGACCTTTTCCTCTATCTATCTCTATCTGCTCGTCTTTTAAACACTATTGCCAGATCATTGAATGTTCTATCATATTTTCGAATGTCTACACAGTTCGCACCAAGAAGGTGATTTTCCATTTCCTTTTGCAAAAAAAATCCACTAGCTCAATCCTTTCAATATTTGCAATGCAAACATTTCATTTTGTTAATCATTTCAGCCTATTATTAGTTTGCCAACGGTGCATATGCCGACTAGCCACCATGGTCATTCTCTGATAGGCCAATGTTAGTTGCATGTTAATATCTAATGCCAATTGGTTTGGCCCGCCATTTCTTATAAACAACGCCCTCGGTGATTGATGTCTAGCCAACGCATTTCATAGTTTGACTTTGAATCCAACGGTGACAGTCCTACCTTCTTCATCTTTTCATTTTACTTCATCATGCAGCGAAGGTGCTTTGGTTAGTGTTAATACCGAAGGATCAGCGGTTATCATTTACTTTTCCTAAGTTCTAACGTATTCAGTGAATAAATTTATCAAAAAATTTTGCATTTGCCAACAGAAAGACTCCCGGACATCAGCTCAAGAATTATATTTTCTTTTCAAGAACAAAGATTGCAAGTATTTTCCTCTAATTGTGGCATTATTACCACGGCAATGATCATCGATTCTCATCAGTGTACATCCTCGGATGCTGAAACCCAACATTGCGGATCAATTTTAATCATAAATGGTGTAGAATGTTGCCTGAAGCAATGCGTTTCCACATCTCAAGTCTACTCATACTGATTTGTTAAACTGCTGCAATTGAGTAGTATTCTCTGTGTGCATCTTCAAAAAAACTTTGCATTTGGAGCACGGAATGGGTATAGTAGAAAGATCTAATCTATGCCAGTAGTCCAAATGGAATATTTTCATTGTCCTCTAGAGAGTAACTCACAATTTTGTTCTCGCATGGAGGAATCCCCATTGCAATCATCAGCCTATACGAGTTATTTAATTTTGTTATTAGAAATTGGTGGTTTGGGTAATAAATCTTTTACTTTTTTCTCTTCAGGTTAGCGCATCTATAGCTTTAGAAAAGGACAACTGGGAGGTTTTAACACTTTGTCCCATGAAAATACTTGAAAAGGCATTCGATATGTTTGAAATTGATTTGTTAAGAAGTTTCGAGGAGGGGGGGGGGACTTAATGTCGATTCTAACCTTGACCTATTGGAAACAGGCCTCTTCACCATAAGTGAATATTAAAGTCAAAGGTCAGAGTTCATCGGCAAAATGTGCTGCTTACTTACTTACTTGTATTTTAAAAGTGGGACTTTACTCTGTTTCCGGGGTGATATTTACTTAGGTGGACTTGAAAGTTTTATCGCTTGTTTTGCTGCTGTTTTTCCAATTTTACTTTATTCTTGTTATTAAAATTTTTCCCTAAAATCTAAATTAAACGTCAGTCTTAGTGAAATGTCTCAAGCTTTAAAAATAGTCTGATCCAACCTGGACATTTTTACAAGAAATACTCTTAACTTTTTTATCTATCGGTTCTATCGGCTATAGTTCTTGCTTCTTTATTTCTTCATTTATTAATTTCAAATGGCAGGCGTCTTAAAAGTTATCATTAGCCCTTTAGCTGACTTCAGGCTTCATAGAGAGAAGGAACGTTGAAGTAAGAGAAAGTCGAGAGGGGGGGGGGAAACAGAAGAGTGTTTCAAAGATGTAAGAGACCTACACAAAAGTAGAAAAAAGGTGAGGTGAGTACGGTTGAAGTAGTCGAATATGGCATAGAGTGAGGTGATGGTAGTTTGAAGTGAGAAGTCAACTGCCAGGTAATAGACTTTCTTTGCCGTATGAGTATACGTTGCCTAGGGTGGACCAAGTGGAGATAAGTCTACCGCACACTCCTCGTGTTTCTTTATTATTTTAAATGACAAAGCAGATTATGTTAGGTCCAAACTGTTGGATTTATAGTGACTACTGTATGGATTTCTACAATAGATATTATTATAATACATAAATTAATTATGATAATTAATAAATAGCCTAAAAAACATCTTCTTCACCATCTCATTAGAAGTAGTTGTAATATATTTTTTCGTTATCATACAGTCTAAAGAGCTTTTTCATAATACTTATAGAAGCCATACCACCAATCGAGCCTTTTTTAAAATGCCAATTTCGTCAAAAAACGCGGTAAATGCGCCTTTCTTCCCCTCTCGAATATTTTCCCTTCTATTTTTTACCTCTGCAATAGTCAAATTGTTTATTTTTATTTTTAAAAATGGCTAATTTTCATTTATTTTATAAGATTAATATTTGTGCCCATTATACAAGCTCAAAAATAATTTAAATCAATATGAAACCATAAGTAGCTTTCCATTGCCTGTCTCTAGCCACTTAACCTAATATTTTTGACAACTTTAATCCAATTCTTTGTAATTGCCTATTCTACCATTGTTGAAATAGTTATTAAACAGTTGCTTTCTAATTTAAAAATAAAAGAACGAAAGATAATTTAGGTTATTCAAATATGCAGCAACCATAAAAACCGATAAGCTTGGATAGTTCACTCTCACAAAGGCTATATTTTTCCTTTTGATGAGCGTGTAGCGGATTGCTACGCTAGTAAAGCCTGACCGACTCAGAAATCTCTATGGCAGATTCTCCAACATCTAGCTAGACTCCCAGAACAAGATGAGCTATAGCCCAGCTATAAGGGAAACAGATATGTAGCACGGAGCACGTTTATTCGGTACGTATATTGATAGCGAATTGTCATTTTGGCAAAGCGATTAGTTATCAGATAACTCTAGCATAATTCGCGTGAACATTAATAGTTAAAAATTTCTGAGTAGTATTCTATAGCAGGATTTCTATTTGGTCATTGATGAAGTGTCCCACAAGTGCTATTTAACTGCATAGCTTTAAGTAACTTCACTGAAAATGAGTCACTAAACATCCATTCTAACTCCATCACAAAATGTTAAATTTTATTCTACTTTAAAAGCGTGTGTATGTGGGAGTTGTGATGTGAAGGTAAGTGAGTGGTGGAGAATAATTTTTGATCAATTAAGCCGACACGTACGTGTAAAAAAATAGGGCAGAGGTGAGTAAGAAGTCACTAATGCTAATAATCGTTTGAAGAAAAGAACGAGTTCAC